CCCACGCGAGAGCGCGATTCCTGTATACACTGTGAAGGTTTCCCGCGCGAGAGCGCGACACGGGAATACATTGTGAGGAAGTATCGGGCGGGAGCCGTTGTTGTGAACTTGGGGGCGCAGACACAATTGTGAAACCAAGACTTCCCTTGATAAAAAAGGGTGCGAGCCCTGGGATGGGCACTTCAATTGAAACAAACACCATGTGCCACGGAGGGGGGAATCAACAACAATTATTCTTCAATCGTGCGAGTTCAACTACAACAGCAATACCAGCAACAGCAGCAACAACAAACATCAGCAGCAGCAACAACAACACCAGCAACAACAGCAGCAACAACAACAACAGCAGCAACAGCAACAGCAACAACAACAGCAACAATACCAACAACAACAACGACGACGACAACAACACCAACAACAACAACAACAGCAGCAGCGACAGCAGCAGCAACAACAACAACAACGACAACAACACCAGCGTCAAAAACAACAATCAATTTAAGACTGTTCGCTCTTACTAGCACGCGTGTCTTGCATTCTGTATGCCCCAAACCTCGATACCCGCCCACTTCGTCTTCGATCGCAGCCCCTCTCAGGAGAATTCCTTCCTTGTCGGCCACTGACTAAATTGCGAGGAACTCTCAAACGAGAGCGTCGTTCCTGAGTTCGGGGGCCTCTCTGGCCAGGGGCTCTCGGGATACATACTGAGAAATATCGAACGGGAGCCCTTGTCGCCGTGTCTGGGCCTCCACCAACTTGTCTGGACTACGAGAAAATCTTGAACGACAGCGCCACTCTTGCGTTCGGGCGCCTCTCTGGCAAGGGCCTCTTCGAATACACCTTGACGTCGTAGTTGGGCCTCCACCAGTTTGACTGTCTGGCGCAAACGCCGTTCCTGAGTTCGGGGGCCTTCCTGGCCAGGGGCTCTCGGAGTAAATCGTGAGGAACTATCGGACACGAGCCCTTGTCCTCGCGGCTGAGCCTCCGCCACCGTGAGTGCATTGAGAGGGAGTTCCGAGCGAGAGCGCCACTCCTGAGTTCGGGGGCCTCTCTGGCCAAGACGTCTCGGGGTAGTGCGTGAGGAAGCATCGAGCGGGATCCGTTGTCGTGGTAGCCGGGCCTCCAGGGACACAGATTTACAGTCAAGCCCGCGCTCGAGCGGGAGCCTCGTTTTCAGAGGAATTGCAGCCGGCGTCAAGGTGAGAGCGCGCGGAACCGTTTCCAGAGACCGACAATCATTTTCTCGAACAGTGGACATCCAGCAGAATCAGCAACAGCAACAGCAACATCAGCAACGGTCATTTTAAGACTGTTCGCTCTTATCTGCTCGAGTGTCATTCAACGTGTTTCTCCCAAACACTCGATACCAGCCCTCTTCGTCTCCGATCGTACCCCTTTTGAGGGGTATATCTTTCCCCTGCAGGCCAGGCCCAGGCAAGCGGCGGGGCGGCCGTGGACAGTCGGCCTGGCCACCGGCAGCGCTGATCGGCGGCAGCCCGACCCCAAGAGGGACGGACAGGGGACCGACCACGACGACGACGATGACGACGACGACGGCGACGACGACGAGCGAAAGCGAGAGCGAGAGCGAGAGCGACAGCGGGGCCACGAAGGACAGGAAGGGGGCCACGAAGGGCGACAGTGGGTCACGAAGGGCATGCGTATGGGGCCACGGAGGGCGCGAACGAGCAGGGGCCACGAAGGGCAGATAATGTGCGGCCACAGATGGCAACGACGGGCCACCGAGGGCAGCTCCGGGGCCACGAAGGGCAGCGAGGAGGCCACGAAGGGCGACAGCGGTGCCACGAAGCGCACGCAGATGGGGCCACGACGGGCGCGAACGAGCGGGTGCCATGAAGGGCATACATATATGCGGCCACGAAGGGCAGCGACGGGGCCACGGAAGGCTGCAACGGGGCCACGAAGGGCAGCGATGGGGGCCACGAAGGGGCGCAACGGGGCCACGAAGGGCAGCGAGGGGGCCACGAAGGGCAGAGAGGGGGCCAAGAACGGCTGCAACGGGGCCATGAAGGGCAGCGAGATCCCGATTCCTAAATAAAGTGTGAGGGAGTCTCAAGCGTGAGCGCGATTCCTGGGTGCCTGAGTGTCGGGAGCGCGGCGCTTGAGAAAATTGTAGGGAAGTCCAACGCAAGAGCGCGAGTCTTCAATAAATAAATTGCAAGCAGGTCTCCAGCGAGAGCGCGGCTCCAGAGCGCCGAGAAAGCGATCCCATAATAATTTGTTAGGAAATCCGAAGCGAGAGCGCGATTCCCTAGTAAAATGCGAGGAAGTCTTGGGCGGGAGCGGGGGCCTGGCTAAATTGTGAGGAAGTCTCAAGCGGGAACCGTTGTTGTTGTTGTTGTTGATGTTGTTGTTGATGTTGTTGTTGATGTTGTTGTTGTTGTTGTAATCCGGGGGCCACGGGCCCAGTTTGAAACCCAGTGATTTTCCCTGGTAAAAAAATAGGGTGCGAACCCTGAGGGAAGCACTTCAATGGAACAAAAACACAATGGTCACTGGAGGGGGGATCAACAATACTTATTCTTCAATAGTGAGAGTTTAACACCGACGACGACATCAGCAACAACATCAACAACAACATCAACAACAACAACACCACCACCACCACCAACAACAACAACAACAACAACAATCATTTTACCCGAACGCGTGGTGTTCTCCCCAGTGCCAGGGTTTTCATACGACACCAGGCAATACCCCCACTTCGTGGGGGGGCATTACAAGCTCTACCAAATATCCAAACGACTCTTCGCGACCACCCAAACCCAGCTTCCCGCCCTATGACGTTGGGACACTTCACTTCGTGGCGTGCGGACGACCGTGGCTACTACACTGGCGTGGGGTACACACCCACAGAACTTGGTCGAAAAGTCGTGCAGGTGTTTTTCGAGGACCTGCGGTGCGATTCGTGTGATTTTATGATGCGCGGTGCTAAAATTCTTAAGAACCCAATGGTTTTTGGAGATTTCGGCGTGCGCGCGGAAAAAACGAATGTGTCCCGCATGGTATTATTTGACAGGGATGATGGCCCTGGCAGGTGCGCAACCGTTGTCGCAGAAGTTCGAAAAAGTTGCTCGCAAAAGCCCGTTTGACAGAAATGTTTAAAAAGTGTTGGTTTTCCTACGAATCCGCAAGAGCGCGCGGGATGAGATGTTGACATTTTTTTTGTTGAAAAACCATTGGTTTTTTGATGTTTTTATGTTAAAATCGCTCCGAACACTAAGCTTTTGGAAGGATTTCGTCTTGCGCGCGCGAATGTCCACTTTACCTTATTTTTTGCAAGGGATTCTTGAAATTTGATTATATTAGAACAAGAAATGTCATTTTATAGTGTTTTTTGCAAGGGAAAGCGGATTACAACAAAACAACCGGATCTGGATCACATCGTTTTACCTGAGGCTTCCTCACGAAAATGATGAAAATGTAGCTGCGGCCTAGGCGGCGCAGGGGGGGCCGTGCACCAGGGGGCCCAACAATAATTATTCTTTAGAATTAATAATGTTCAACAACAACAACAACAACAACAACAACAACAACAACAACAACAATCACTTTACCCGAACGCTCAGTGTTCTCACCAGTGCCAGGGTTTTCATGCGACGCCAGCCAATACCCCCACTTTGTGGGGGGGCAGTTCAAGCTCTACCAAATATCCAAACGACTCTTCGCCACCACCCACACCCAGCTTCCCGCCCTATGACGTTCGGACACTTCACTTCGTGGCCTGCGGACGACCGTGGCTACTACAGGGCCCCGCGGCCGACGAGATTTCGGCGTGCGCGCGCGAAGAAAAAACGAATGTGTCCCGCATGGTATTATTTGACAGGGATGATGGCCCTGGCAGGTGCGCAACCGTTGTCGCAGAAGTTCGAAAAAGTTGCTCGCAAAAGCCCGTTTGACAGAAATGTTTAAAAAGTGTTGGTTTTCCTACGAATCCGCAAGAGCGCGCGGGATGAGATTTTGACATTTTTTTGTTGAAAAACCATTGGTTTTTTGATGTTTTTATGTTAAAATCGCTCCGAACACTAAGCTTTTGGAAGGATTTCGTCTTGCGCGCGCGAATGTCCACTTTACCTTATTTTTTGCAAGGGATTCTTGAAATTTGATTATATTAGAACAAGAAATGTCATTTTATAGTGTTTTTTGCAAGGGAAAGCGGGGGGGAACAAAACAACCGGATCTTGATCACATCGAATTACCTGAGGCTTCCTCACGAAAATGATGAAAATGTAGCTGCGGCCTAGGCGGCGCAGGGGGGCCGTGCACCAGGGGCCCCAACAATAATTATTCTTTAGAATTAATAATGTTCAACAACAGCAGCAGCAACAACAACAACGATAACAACAACAGAAGCATGCCGATTCGTGAAGTAGGCAGGCGCTGGAAGTAAACTGGGAGCTGGGAGTCCTACTTTCAAAGACGGGCCTGTATGGTCAGGGGGTCTTTTCCTGCAGATGCTACGGGAGGAAACTACCCAGGCGTCTGGGGTGCGGACGCGGCCGCAAGACACCCTCGCAAGAAACCCAGCCCTGAAGACCCGCAAGCACGAGGCATGTGGGAGGGAGCCAAAAGCACCCTGAGCGCAGCAGCTCCGCCAAAGGCCGCGGAGGGTCACCCCGCAGAGCGCGGAGCGAAGGAACCAAGGGTTCCCAGACGAAGAGCATGCGGCTTCTTGATGCGCGTCCCCACTATAGGGGCACCCCTGGAACCGAGCGCCCAACCCAGACCCCCGACGTCTTGATTTTTTCACGGCGACGACCCCCAGAGGTCTGGACCCCTTTCCCCAGGACAGGTGTTTCATCCCGAGTCTTGCTTGGACGGTCCCGAGGCCCGGGAAAGGGCCCCCCGAAAGCCCAGAATGCCGAAAAAAAACATCCCGCCGTGAACTTTTTCACAGCGCGAGGAGGTCTGGGAGGTGAGGCCACGACTTCCTCGTGCTGTGAGGGCTCGGGGCTTACACCGTGCTCAAAAAGAAGGACCTGCGGCGCCCGGGCCCGCGGGCTGGCGACGAGCTCGGCCGTGCCGTGCGCGTACGGGCAGGCCTTCCGGGCCGGACGAAAGGAGGAGGAGGAGGAGGAGGAGGAGGAGGAGGAGGAGGAGGAGGAGGAGATCCTGGCGCTGCCCTGTAGGTCCACCACGGGCGACGCTGCCCTGCTCTTTGCGGGCAACGTCCATATATCAACATCTAATGCGTCTTGGAGTTCCAGGCTCTCTTCCCAAGAAACACGAGGCGCACTGGATATGGATTAAAAACATCTGGCTCCACAGGGCTCGATGTTGATCCATTTCCAGTGCGCCTCGGCCTTGCGGCGACCCTTCCAAGAAAGTCCAAGACGCACTGGAGATGGATGGAAGTATTGCCCGCACTCTTCTCGGCCACACGCAAGAGTGACCCTGGATAAGAGTGACCTTTGGTGCGCGGCTTCGTGAGGGCCGCGGGGGGGCCGAACACAAGCGCGCAAGACGCTGCTGCAGCATCGCGTTCGGCGATCGGGGGGCCCCAGTGAGCCCGCACTAACTGTCACTCCGGCGAAGGGTCGCTCTTACGTGTAGTCGATTTTCGGGCCCCAGGACCATCACGGATCGATCCAGCTCGAAAGATGCCTCAGAAAGATGGGGTCTAGGGCTCCTGTCGTGATTGTTCGCGATGCTGCATGTCTTTGGCGACGTCGGATGTCAGGGAAGGGGGGGTCTGTAAAGGGGGGGGGTCGAGAATCAGCTAACGTGGCTGATTTTCCTGGCGCCTCCAGGGGCCAGAGGCGCCCGTGTATTGATGGGCCCATGTCCCACCACCACTACCAGAAGCAGGAAGCGGAGGAGGAGGAGGATGTCCCCCGCGTCCTACACGTGGTGGTGGTGGTGGTGGTGGTGGAAGCTTTGCCCATCACGTGCGGAGGAAAGCGCCCGCCTAGCGGCGGGCCGAAGCCAGCTGCACGAATCAGTTGTCGTAGCCATCTCCTTGCCCCATCTTTAGGTCGGGCATGTCCTCCTACAGGCGGAGTTTGGACGAAAGCTTCAAACTAGTCAAAACAGATCCCAAAATGATCAGAACAAGTGGAAGCATCGTCCACACATTACTGTTTGACTGCTTTTAAGGGACGTGCCCGACTCAACCCCAGCCCCCCCTTTCGTCCGACCCGAGCCTTGCCCTGCCCGCACCAGCCGGCCTGGAAGTGGATGCACAGCCTCGCGTGGAGGGCAAAGGCTGGGGCCTCCTCGAAAAGAACGACTCCGGAAAAAAAGAAAACCATACAAACGGAAACTTTTGGCGCCACGCACGGATTTTCTTGGATCCGCGCTGGACCCCCCTGAGAGCGCCAGGGGCGGCGCCGGAGGCGCCGCCAGGGGGGCCCAGCGCAGATCCAACAAATCCGCGCGGAGCGCTAAAAGGTTATGTGTGTAGCGTTCGTTTTCGAGATTATGGGCACGGCCTGTTCAGCGCGATAAAGAAGGGCCACTGGGCCGGATTCAGCCCATAACTAAGCAGGAGTGATCGGAACAGCTTTAACAGCGGTGTCCAACCAAGGATCTGCTAGAGCCGATGCTGAATGAAACCTCCCAGGAGCTGCAGCCGAGAGCCTCGTGTTGCGGGGGCGGTGGCCGAGCTGAGGCGTCGTGTCCAACTCGGCCTCGCCGTGGGCCCAGATGCAGAAGACGCCCTTCTGGCAGTCGCCCTTGGCAAAGAAGCGGCACATCCGCCGCCTGTTCAGGAGGCACTGCTCGCGCACCTGCCGCCGCTCCTCCGAGAGTCGTGCTGCTCACCGGCCACCCCTTCCCGCCACAGCCGCTGCTGCTGCCGCCGCCGCGAAGCAGCTGCAGCTACAGACAACGACCAGATCCACAGCCTCCAGAGGCCGCAGGGTGCAAGTCCGGGCATCCGCTGTCTTGCCTTTGGCTCATGCGACCCCCCCGGAAGTCCCGACCCGTTCCCCACGGCTTAGGTCGGGCGCGTCCTCCTGCAGGCGGATCTTGGGCGAACAATGAAACGTACTGAAAGCATACTCGAGGATACCCCAACAAAAATCATGGAAAAATCCGCCCCCTGGGCATCTTGTGCTAGCTTTGAATGTTCCTCCTGTAGAGGGACAGGCCCCACGTAACCCAAGGCCAGCTTCTCATGCCTCGGGGTTTCTGGACGGCCCCGGGGCCAGGCGCGGGCCCGCGGGGGCCGACGACTGCCACAGGCCTGCTGGCAGATGTTTCACGACGCGAGCACGTCTGGGAACGCAAGGTGCCCATCGACCACAGCGCAGCCAGCGAATTTTTGCACCGCGAGCTCCTCGGGCGACATGGAGCTGGCCGCGCACTGAACAGGGCCCTGGTGAGGGGCAACGATAAGGGGGGGCCGGCTCAGGGAGGAAGCATCGACCTGGAATCGGCGATACATCGAGGATAGATCGGCGAGAGGCACCTGGTGGCGCAACCGTGCGTTCCTGGGCGGGTTGGGTTATCAGGCCAATCGGCGATGAGTGGGCGATTGGGGGTCGATGCATCCCCCTCGGAGCCGATCCTCCCAGTGATCCTCGTCTGGTTTTCGGGTCATGCTTCGGGTCTTCTGCGGCCGTTCGGGACGATCCGGGCACCCCCAGGCGCCTCTCGGCGAGGCGCAGCCGCTGGAGAGCATCTCGAGGCTGGGGAGCCGCCGAGAGCCGGCGAAGACATCCGAAAACCTCAACCAACCCTCGAACCTCGAGCCTCGAAACCCCCTCTGAGCCTATTCTCCCGATGATCCTCGTCTGGTTTTCGGACTATAAACTCGGGCTTCTCCGGCGGCCGCGCATGGGACCATCCGGGCACGACTGGGACGCCTCTCGGTGAGGCTCGCCCCCTGGAGAGCATCTCGAGGCTGGGAAGCCGCCGAGAGCCAGCGAGAACTCGAGTAAGTTGAGGGCGTTGGAAGAGAAACCTTAGATACTGTCGGACCTAGGCCAGACCAGCATGCCTCAAAAACATGAGACCCCCTGTCGGCCAAAACACACGGAACATCGAAGGGTCCCCTCCCCAGGATGCACAAGAGCATCCAACAAACACGAAGAACACCAGGGTACCCTCCCCGAAACGACCTCGAACAAACACGAAGAACACCAGGGTAATTATCCTCCCCGAACCGACCTCGACCTTATGCTTCGGTCCGATGTTACGGGGATGGCTATGGAAGAGAGAACCCTTCGATAAGGAGCCCAGGGTCTGAAAGCCTGTGGAACACCAAATGAGGCTCGGCCACGGATATCACCGCCGTCCTCATCAGCTAAGGAATCCTCCACGACCTTCTGGGCACATCCCTCCACGAACGCCCCCACCGCAGGGGATCGACTGCAGAATTGAGTTATCCCAACATGGATTTTCCCGTTGAGACATACGTAGGATGCCCCGTCGATCCACGGACAACTGCTTGCGCATTTGTTCGTGGACTCGACGGCAAAGCAAATTTTGTGGCAAACCAATTCTGTTGTCGATCTCCGACTCGAGGAACATCACACAACCTCGAACCCGGACCCCCGACGTCATGACTGATTCAAATCGTCGACCCCCCCAAAAGACTCGACCCATTCCCCGAGACCGGCCTCTCATCCTGAGCTGCTTTCTGACGCGCCCGAGGCCCGGCCAGGGCCCCCGAAGGCAGAAGACGCGGGCAAGCCTCCCGCCGTGATCTTGGAATGCCGCGAGGGGGCCTGGGAACCTCAAGCCTCCCCCTTCTTGGGCGCCCGAACTATCCGGGGTAACTCGGGTCCGGGGTAACTCGGGTTTGGATTCCCAAAAAAAAGGAACCCAGGTTAGCCCTGACCCGAGATACCCCTGATGATTCGGGGCTCTGGACGCCCGCATTATCCGGGGCAGGTCGGGTCCGGGGTAGGTCGGGTTCGGAATCCCGAAAAACGAACCCGAGTTAGCCCTGACCCGAGTGACCCCTGATGATTCGGGGCTCTGGACGCCCGAATTATCCGGGGTAAGTCGGGTCCGGGGTAGGTCGGGTTCGGAATCCCGAAAAACGCACCCGAGTCAGCCCTGCCCCGAGTGACCCCTGATGATTCGTGGCGCTGACCTTCCCCCTTCAGCCTGCCCCCCCCCCTGACGTTGCCCCTGGCCTGGGGGCGGCGAGGCACCGACCGCGAGGGCTCCCGGCGGCCGGGCGCCGCGCGGGAGGAGCCCGAGCGGGAGCGCGACCTGCTCGACCTCTGGGCGCCAGATCCCGCCGCGCTGCCGGGACTGGCAGGCACCCCCTGCCCAGAGTTGACCAGCCTCGAACGTACCCCTATCCCCAAGATTGACACGCCAGAAGGCGATGACGATCTTCGGGATTCGCCCTCAAGGAATACGGGAATCCCTAAGATTGGCATCGTGATGAGGAGGTGCCCAACATAGGGATAGGGATATGTTCCAGGCTGGTAAAGAGTTACGGAGTCGGCTGCATGCAGCCCAGACCCCCTCGGGTCACGACAACAGTCGGGCCGGGCGAGAGGGGGGGATAGCAAAGGGGGGGTGGTTTGGGCATCAGCTCACGTAGCTGATTTTCCCGGCGCCACCCAGCGCCGGGAGGCGCCCATGCATCGAGGAATGGGCCCGACGGCGGTGCCGAAACCAGCTGCATGCAGCAGATTTCGTACCCCCCCCTTTCCCTCTCCCCCCCTTTCGCACGACCTGAAACAGTCACGACGGGAAGCGTTTCGCTACTTTCGGCCCCTGGGCACCCTGGCCGGGCCTCGGGAGCGTCAACCAAACGACTCGGGAGGAGGAAAACCGGTCCTGGGGCAGGCGTCCAGACCTCGGAGGGTTGACGCTGTGAGAGAACCACGATGCAGGGGGCCTGTGGTAGAGTGAAGGAACCGACTACACGCAAGAGCGACGCTAGGCAAGAGTGACCTCCAGTGCGCGGCCGAGGGGGAGCCATTCGGGGACACCGCCAGGCGCGCAAGCCGCTGCTACCGCATCACCCTCAGCCATCGGGGGCCCCATGAGGGTCCGCACCAAGGTCACTCCGGCGAAAGGTTTTTTTTGGAGTGCAGTCGAAGAATATTCTACGCTGGGAAGGTGGGCATCACTCGAAGCGTTGTCTTAAACCGCGGTCCAGCTCCACGTACACGTCGTTCATTTCTAATCGTGCTCATTTCTAAATTTGCTCGTTTCTAATTATTCTTGGCCCCCTAGTGGCCAGGAAGAGGCCCAGGATAGAACAATTAGAAATGACAGGATCCTGGCCCCCCAAAAATCAAAGAACTCTCGAATAATTCAAAATGAACGCGGGGAAAAATTCGACGGGGAACAAAAAGCTCCAAGAGAACCCCCAGGGTCCAGCCCAGTACTCGAAGTCTCTTAGTAATCGACCCCCCCAAAAAAAGCAAGACCCCACCTTCAACAGCAACCTAGTTTTCCGGACCCCCCTGTCAACGGGAGGCCTGAATATTCGGGCCCCCCCTCGTCTTCGGCTTAGAGGAGCCGCCCTGATGAACCGACCCCCCCCCCGCTTCCAAAAAAGACGCCTTCAAAAACGGGACCAGGGGGACGATTGTTAGGGGATTTCGAGTGCAGCCATCATGCTACCATCCCAGACCCCGCGGCGTCGTGAAAACGTCACGACGGGAGGTTCCTTGGCTGGTCTCGGCCTGCAGAGGGGCCTTCGACGGGCCCAGAGCCGTAACAACTCGGGAGTACAACGGTCCTGGGGAACTGGTCGAGACCTCTGGGGGTCGACGCTGAGAACAAATCATAACGCAGGGGGTCTGGGATAACAGAGGCCTCGCAGATGACAAAGGTGCGCGGTAAGAATGCAAGCACCTTGGGGCCATCGAAAGTGGTCAAGGATGGACCAAAGAGGCACGGATGCAAGGGTACCCTTGGGAAGGATATTACTACCCATCCTTACCATCGGCTTCATCATGGAGAACACTGGGATGGGGTCAGAGTGCGTAGACGGGGTCGGAGGATCGCCCCGCATCGCAGATGCATGACCGATGCATCGACAATACATCGGCGACGTCGGCGATACAGCGGCGACGTTGGCGTGGAGAAAAGCTGGCTCCACATCGAGTTGCGTCGCCGATGCATCGGCGAAGCGACCGACTCCATCTGAGCCGACCCCATCCGGGAGGTCGAGCCATGAGGACCCTGTCTGAGGAACGAACAAGCTTTTCTGGCCAAGGCGAGCCTCGATCACGAACATTTTTCCACCGCTGCGCGGCAGAGGCGATCCGCTCGCGCGCGGAGCCAGCCCGCGACGCGGGGCGCGATCCGCTCGCGCATGAAGCAGGCCGCAAACAGGCTCCCCGTGAAACAGAGCATCCCGAGGCCATAGAGCGGCTGAAAAGCCGCCGAGCGACAGGAACACCCGAACACCTCAAACCTCGAACGTCCTCCCCTTCCTCCTCCTTCTCCTCCTCCTCCTCCTCCTCCTCCTCTTCCTCATCCTCCTCCTCCTCTTCCTCCTCCTCCTCCT